CAGCCTGGCCTTGAATGCCTCCAGGGATGGGGCATCCACAGCCTCCTTGGGCAACCTGTTCCAGTGCGTCACCACCCTCTGTGTGAAAAACCTCCTCCTAATATCTAACCTAAGCCTCCCCTGTCTCAGATTAAAACCATTCCCCCTTGTCCTATCGCTATTTGCCCTCAAGAACAGCTGTTCCCTCTTCTGTTCATAAGCTTTCTTCAAGTACTGGAAGGCCACAATGAGGTCTCCCCAGAGCCTTCTCTTCTCCAAGCTAAACAAGCCCAGTTCCCTCAACCTTTTCTTATAGGAGAAGTTAGTTTTCTCTTACATATTTGCCACTGCTTTTATTGCACTTGGCCTCTCTGACAGTATCCACTAGCATCTTAAAATAATATTTAACATATAAAAGTATAGTTTGGATAGAGTGTCAGTCTCTAAGCGCAGGTTAACCACACATAGTTCCAAATGGTCCAACACACTTGCAAATGCTTGGATTTGTCACAGCACGTATAACTAGTCTGCTTCTTGACAAATGAGACTATTAGATTAGCTCATTTGCAGAACACTGGGAAATAATACCTGATTTACTGGTCTGCTGGGTACCAGAAGTTTTTTGGCTGGAATATCACAGGGCTGCAAATCAGCCTGCGTGGAGTTCCCTATTACCACAGCTGGAATGACTCTCGCTATGCAAAACAGCATAGCTCAACAGAGCTTACATACAACCTTTCTTTATGAGAACATGCTGCAGAAAATGTTACTTAAATAGAAAAATAGGTTAAAAAAAACTCTGGAGAATCAGCTGTGCTCCATATGCCTGCTGGGAAATGGTAGTGGCTGCTGTTTTTTCATCACTTAGGAAGCTCACTTAGCAGAAATGAATACATGTACAAGGAAGAGGACTTGCTGAAATGTCTCCTCGGGAAAACACAAATAGTTTTGTTGTGAATTGATGCCTGCTGACTTCCCCTTGATAACTCAAGAACTAATTTGATTTTTATTCCTAACGTTGCACATTAAGAAGTTATGTAGTGATACAATCCAATAAACTGCATTTACTTGACAATTCAAAGCCTTTCATTTTATTCCTTTTTATGTGCACTATTTGTTAGAAAAAGTTATGGGATTTTAATCACTCTCAGAGTGCTAAAAGCAAAATCCCTCTTTCCACTCCTCCTAAAAAACCCAACAGCTTAATTAAAGTACCATAAGTTCTAACAGTTCTGCAAATGCCATAAATAAAGAGAAAACATACAAAAATGGTTTCCAGGTCCAGGGTAATGATGCCCTTTGTAAGCTGCCATCAAGCCAGGATTTATGCCAATCTGCAAAGCAAGATACAGCCCATTTTAATGATTGGAACATGGCTCACTGGTCAGGAATGCAAGTTACAGGAAGGAAGCCTATTCCACTCTCCGAAGTTACTGTCGATAAACAAAAGCACATCACTGATATCTTCCAGCATTGTTCAAAAACCTGGCAATTTTACAGTAGGGTTTCATTGATGTGCACTGTCAAAAGAGCAGCCTCCTAGCGTGCTTCACAGCCACTGCTGTAGCACTTCTGGTGAACTGTCAAGTAATGTTCTTTCATGACTGTGCATTAAACGTAAGTCTTAGACTTCTCAGCAAACAGAGTTATGTTACTATGATTCTTAACAGAAAATGCAAAGCAGCTGTGCACACAGGATGCACTTTAGAAACTTCATGGCAAGATCTTGCAAGGTGTAAGTAACACAGATAAATAACGAAGGAATGTAAATCACAACCACTGTGGCTGGATTGTAAAACACAGCACAGACCATTTCTACCTCATTCTGTAACTGCGAGTTACTCACTATTACGATGTCCAGATCGAAGGTTAAAATATCAGGTAAAGTCTTTGTCAGAAGCTCAGCTTCAGACACACCATTAAAACGATCCACTTTTCTTTTCACTTTAAAAGTATCTGTGATCTTTTCTTGTTTCCCTTTCGACTTGGTCGCTTTTTCTTTCTTAGCAGCAGGCTTCTTAGGTTGCTTTGGCTCAGTTGCTTTGGCTTTTCTCTTCCTTCCACCTTTTTTAACTTCTGAAAAATAGCAAATACATTTTTTGTACATTTCTAAGGCTGCAGCATGAACATTCAAACAGAATGAACTGCACTTATGACTAGAAAAAGACATCAAACAGAAACATGCCTACAAAATTCATGAAATTAAACAATTATCAGATGGATTTCAGTATTCCTGGCTCAGCTTGGGTGTCTCTATACCACTCAGAGGCAACTATGCTGACTTAGGATACGAACCAACAATAACCTCATGGCTAGGCTATGTTGTTTGCATCCTGCATGCAATGATCTTTTAGAGACAGTTTCACTTGTTTTGGAGAATATGCCAGAACATGCAAGTTTAGGTTCCGAGGAATGCTGAATTCTAGTCTACTATCTACTCCTCAGCCTCTGAATAGGTGAATGCATCGTTATAAATCATATAAAGTACTGAGGAAACTGACTTGCATACCAAAAGCAACAGGTCTCAGGGTAAGGTTTGAATTTATCACGACCACACAGGAACTGAACACTGCATCAACTGCTCACAGTTTCTTATGGAGGAGAATTTGAGGGTCCAGGGTTTACTTCTCAGCTTTTTCATTCTTTGGTAATAAATATTATTAAACAAATGCAATTAATCAATACTTTCTCAAAGACTAGCAAGAAAATGAAACCCAGCAGCTCCAAAGAAGGTGTTTACCGAGACAAGTACATATCCATATGTTTATTCCAACCAATTTCTAAGATTTTAGCTCTCTTAGCCCAATCAAACTACCTTTAGGAGGTTCCTGAGCAAGGTTTGGCTCTGGAATGCCCTCTAGAGTTGGCTGCTCAGTCATGGCTTCCATGGTAGGCGGCGCAGTCATCATCTGGTGGAACGGAAATGTGTAAAAAGCTTGAGCTTGCTGGAGATAAGCGTAATATCTTAAAAAGAGAGAAAACAAGAAGCATAAATCATCAACTATTTAGTAACGTAGTGATGTACCAAAGAGGCCGTGAACATCTATCTTTATCAAGACTGCCAAGCACCCACTCACATTCTCCAGCTACTCTATTAACCACGCAGTAAATTATTCAACTCCGTTAAGAAGTCCAGCTGCATGGCAGCCACGAGGTGCTGCTACACCCAACACCAACAGCCCAGCTCTCCCACGACTGCTATAAAGTAGAAGAACCACAGCAATTTTAAGGACAGCACAGAGCTTCCCTTAACACTGGGGAAAACTGTGTGTGGCCCACATTAGCCACGTCAACCGTCTATCCACCAACAGCTCACAACACAACTGAGTTGAAACATTCTCTTAATGCTACTTTGCGGGCACTTCGTTCATACGTTCTACTTCTATGCAAATACATTGAAAAGATTTCACAAACAGTAAATTTTCAATATTTTTATCATAACTCTTCATAAATGTATCAATTTTTAGGCATATAGAAATGAGGCCACCCTTGAAAAGGAACTGTTCTTTATCATGCAAAGGATGTTTAAGAACCACTCTGTCAATCAGATTTATGCCAGAAGAGCCCACGGACATGAGGACAGGATGCTAATTTTGAAGCAAACAACTGTCCTGAACCAGGGAGAACAAATCTGTATTCATAGAATCATAAAGACTGGAAAAGACCACCAGGATCACCCAGCCCAACCACCATCCCATGCCCACTGACCACGTCCCTCAGTGCCACATCCACACAGTTCTGGAACACCTCCAGGGACGGTGACTCCACCACCTCCCTGAGCAGCCTGTGCCACTGCAGCACCACTCCTTCCAAGAAGAAATTGTTCCTAACATCCAACCTGAGGTTTTCAACCCACCAAATTTCTTGGCTCAACTGCTGGAACTGTTCCATTTCATATAGAACATTCACACAGTTCCTGAACAAAACAAAACTGATGTTTGGATTTACAGTAGGGAGCACAGCTGAGACATGAAGAACATGGGTGATTGTGTAATAAATATGGAACAGAATCGGTTAGAGAAACATGAGGGGATCTAATTGGAGAAAGGTCTCTAACAAGATGCCTTCTTTCAAGACATGTTCTTATCATACATACTTATAAAATTCCCTTCCTTTAAAGGCTGTAAAATTCCCTACAAACCAGAGGATGGCTTGCAGGGTATTCCAGCCAAGTTCCCCAAATTCTAACCAGTAAGATGAAGGAGGGCCTCCCCCTTCACCTCTGACACTCATAGGAGTTTGTAGATCACTTTTTTTCGGCATGACTTCAGATCCCTAACGCCTTGCTAACGCCGAATGGAGCATTACGTAAATATTTCCAATTCAAAGTGGTGACTTAACTCGCTGCTTCGCGTCAAGATACAAATGAAAACAAAACAAAACAAAAAAAAAAGGCGAAAAACCACGTCCTCCACAACAAAACCAGACGTTAAATCACACACAATTCCCACCTTCTACACACGGATTCCCGCACCAACACGAATCGTTCTACACGCACAAGGATTCCCGACGCGCACTTCAATGCGCCAACCCCTCTCAGCGGTCCCCCAGGCCCTCCGCGGCCCTCTCACAACCCCGCGGCCTCCAGCGGCACCGCCCCGCCCGGGAGCGCGCTCACGTCAGCGCCGTCCATGCGAGACCCCCGCTCCGCGCTCCTTCAGGGCGAGGGAATGGGGGACCGCAACGGGGCAGCCCCGGTTTCGGCCCCGGTCCCTCAGCAGAGGGAAAAGAACGATAACAGCACAGCCCCGCGGCGAAGCTCCAGCACGGCACTTCCCCCCGCTACCTGCCCAGCTCCTCGGCCTCCATGGCCGAGCGCGGCGCCCCGCCGGCAGCCATCGGGCTATTGTCAGAGCTCCCCCCCACCTCCGATCCCCACCGACCTGCCGGGCAGCCGCGCGGCACGTGACCAGCACCGGCCAATGGCAGCGTGCGGTTGGGTAGTCGGGGGAGGGGTCGGCTGAGCAGCAACCGGAAGTTGCGCGTGGGCGGCCCGGAAGGGTGACGCATTTCCGGCGCGCCACTTGATGGGAGGCGGTAGGCCGCCATGCCCGCGGGTGTGCCCTGGTCCACTTACCTGAAGACGCTGGCTGCCAGCATGCTGGCCATGTTCGCAGGAGCCGAGGTGGTGCACCGGTACTACCGGCCTGACCTCGTAAGTGCTGCCGTAAACTAAATAATTTATAAAAGGTAACGGAACCTCTCTTTCTGTCACCAAGATGAAAAAAGCCTTGACAGAAATTTCAGCTGGTGCCTTGAAGGTACGCTGCGCGTCGTATCGAGTGGCCAAGGGCAGCTTTGTGCCTTTAAACAAACCTCTTTCTCCTCCTTTAATTCAAAGCGTGCTTTGAAATTTGAAGTCAGATTTCGAAAAGACAGTAGGTAGATGTTGAAGTTTTGTTTGTAAAAATTACTGTGGTCTGGGAGATGCAATGACAGCTGGACTCGATGATCTCTGGAGGTCCCTTCCAACCCCTACAATCCTGCGATTCTGTGATAATGCTGTCTCTTGCAGTGTTTTTGTGATGGCAGTTTTTCTTCTTCCACAACAGTGACATCTTTCTCTGTTTTTAACAGAGTATACCTGAAATACCTCCTAAGCCTGGAGAGCTGAGAACAGAGCTGCTGGGTCTGAAAGCAAGGTCAAAACAAGCTGAAACATCACAGCATTGACTGCAGTTTGCTTTTTGCGTTTTGAGAACTACTTAGGTTGCTCCAAAAGTAATGCTTATTTATTTCCATGGAAACAATAACTGATACAAAAAACACTTTAAGAGTATGTGAGCAAATTCCAAGCTACAGAAATGTCTCTCCACATAGTTGCCACCATTAGTCAATTTGTGTGCATTAACGGATGGAGGCACTCTTCATTTCATGGTGTAACAGTTGTGCGTGGCCATTGGGAATGCAGCTTGTCGTTCATGTTGCCATTGCTACTGCTGAAACACAGCACCCACTGCCTCACTGTGCTGACATCCACTGGTTGGTCTCCTTAACAAGCATTGATGAATGTCACTGAGTGCATTTTTTTTTCCACCTGGAGGAATTCAGTGATGCACCTTTGCTTCATTCATACTTCCACATCAGATGCCATTGCCAGATTGTCCCTTCTGCTGTCCTCTGTTATACGGCAACGAAATGTAACGAGAACACTGACAAGAAGGTTCAAGCTCTACTGCTATACCCCCAACATCCCCCTCTGACATCATGGACCAACATAATGGCACAGGAGGCATTACTTTTGGAGCAGCTCGTATAGGACAGCGAGAACATTTGGTCAGTTCTCTCAACTGCAGAAGTCCATATGTGAAATAATGAAGCTTTTCTTCTTTCTTGAAAGCAGAATTATATGCAGTATATGCTAAGAACAAACAAATACTGTTAAAAGTGTAATATGTTGTATACCAAAATCTGTATGATTAATTTTGATTTGCAGTGTAAATATTCTTCGGAATAAAAAAATGTGAACTTGTGCTTGGCCAACTCTACTGGAGTTTGAAGCTTTTAAGCTGATGTTCTTGATTTCAGCTGGGATAATCTTCCTGCTAGCTGCTATAGTGCTGTGTTTTGGACTTAAGATGAGAATAATGCTGGTAACAGTTGCTGAGTAGTGCTTATTGCACCAGGTCCAGGACATTTTGGCTTTTCCTGCTGCACTGCCAGCAAGAGGCTGGGTGTGCATGAGAAGACATGGCCAGAACAGCTGCCCCAACTGGCCAAAGTGTTAGTGTTCAGTTTCTCAGGAAGGTGTTACACATGCTGGGTCTTGCTCTGATGGAAGTGGCTGAATAGTTCACGACAAATGAAGCCCTTAATTTGCTTTCATACACAACTTTAGCTAGTAAATGCTTTTACATCAGTCTATGAGTTTCTTTGCTTCTACCTTTCCGATTCCCTTCCCCCATCTCACTGAGGGGTTGTGAGTGAGCAGCTGCACTGTGCTGAGCATTAAACCACAACAGCTGATTAGCAAGGAGAACAAGTTAAGCCTATGGAAAAGTCAAGTTCTATGGCCAAGCATAAAGTCCTACTTGTTCTTCTGTAGTAGAACTCCAGTGAACTGTTGGCATTTCCCACCTCTGTAGACTACAGCTCAGTTCTGTTCAGCATAATCTAGAATGTAATACAGAAAAATGTTACCATGATTTTCTAAACACGAGTTTCTTTACTAAGAGCACACAGGCCTCCTAATACTGGTTAACTGCCACAGCAGCAGCTGCATTGGCTCTGTATTACTGACAGAAGGTCTGTTTTGAGCTAAGAGGTTGTTTCAGTTAAAACTGAGTACACATTTACAGATTACATTAAAATTATGTGTATGTACTCCATTATGTATTATGGCTGCTTTTGATAGCCATGAATATTCAGAACTCTGAAACAGCAAGTACAGGCTTACTGTTCAGTCCTCACAGTCTCTCCACAAAGTTCTTACACCCAGAACTCAAAAAAAAAAAAAAAAAAAAAAAAAAAAAAAAGTACAAACTGAATATGTTGCAAAGAGGGTGCACCCACCCCTTTTTGAATGGCTCACAGTAGTAGGGGGAGGTTGGGGATTGCTTTCCCATGAGAAAGGTACCTAACCAAGGCACAGGGTCATTTGCAGTTCTCACTGAGGTTGGACTCAGGAAAGAAAAATCACAGGCTGACTGCTGACCCATGTGGCTAGGAGGCAAAAAGTTCGTTAACAGCTTTTGACACAGCACCTAGTTCTTTATAGCACAAGATCTACAGCTGTTGTGTTTTAATGTCTATTCCAGCTGTGAAGCATATGGTATTTTACATATGCTTGTGTAAGGTGGGATCTGTTTTCCTAATGAAAGAAGCTTGATGTATAGTTCTTCCCTGTCACACAGCTGTTTACAGCTAATGATCCAGAAAAGCAGCTGAAGGATATTTATTCTCTCTTCCCCCATGGAGTTCATCCTGCAGCCCATGCTACACATCACTAAAGCAGTTATCTTCATCAATGAAAACAGCATAAAGAAGGTACTAATTCTATCTCACACACCGAGTTCAAGTAAAATCAATCTAGAGGAAAACATTTTACTAAGCTCAGTTGCAGTGGTACTTCTTTCACTGCACCTAAACAAAGGCAAAGAAGAGACTGACGCTGCTCACCTCAGCACATTTGACAACAAAGGAACAGTTTATTGAAGAAAATGAGGCAGTTCAACAGTATTTTGTTGCTATTCTAGCTAACAACATTTTCAGTTATCCCTTTAAAGAATGAGGATTTACTAAGCCTTACCCTGAGTTACACTGTCAGACTATTACCTCCATCGTTATGCCACTGCCTTACAGCACAAGATGCATTCTACTTCAGATCACAGGGCTGCAGAAAATTTAATCACATCCATTCAGCTCTTTTTCCAAATGGCTCCTACTGCTAGTGGAAATGGAACAGCGTGGTGTACACTCTAGCTCTGGGGAAATCACCGTCTTGCATGCCTATCTAGTAGCAGCAAAGCTGTCTCTATACCAAGTTCCAACAGCAGCAGTGGCACAGTACAACTACTGCAGGTAAAGAAATGGCCTCAGTATGACTGCAAAGCTTTTTCCAGCAGTGATGCCATTCTACAGAGTTGACAGAAATAACTAAAACACCCCCAAACCTTAACAACTGCATGCTTGTGCCTATTAACAGCAAACACCTGTCACTCAAGGGCAAAGAAAGCATCTGGACCACAGCCATGTTGCACATGATATCCTCAGATGGGGAAGAAGCACAAAGCATGACTAGGAAGTGCTCTCTTTATTATTTCTAAAATGCAATCAGATTGGGCACTCTAGAACCCATCAATGCAATGAGAACTTCAGCCATGAAAAAAGGAATTAACAAATTAAAGTAGCCAGACAATCCTATAATTCTAGTAACATGTTAGATTTCTGAGCTCAGTAACAGACATACAGTAGGCCTGAGCCAGTTGCTGCTCAGGCTGGTCACAGAAGAACATTTCTTACACATTAATGGATGTTTGATTCATTTTTCAAGCTGTAACATTCCAGATTCACAAAGATATTTTTTAGGAAGCAATAAATCAAAACCTCAGAAGCAGCTGATTGTTACGAAAGAGCACAAAATGAACTTGCACCTGACATATTAAGAGGACCATGCCTTAAGAGCTGCTCAGAGGCAAACTACAGTTGATACTGTTACCTGCTGGAATGGCATTGGTTAAGCCATTCAGCTTCCTGTACCAATATTTAACCGTGTACTTAAGCCACTAATGAGTAAGCAAGAAAATAACAAACAAAAACACTCCTTTCACTCAATAAATTAAGCTCCTGTACTAGCATCAAACAGCATACTTTAATAAAGTCTATACCTCTGAGTAAGTCCCAACTCAGTAACACCACACTAGTATATGGTATCTATACTTATTACATGGAAACAGCGTGCTTGGGCAACAGAGAAACCTAGTGAAAGCAAATGGAAAGACAGAAAGCAATCTCTTCAGCTTATGGTTTAGATGCCTCACCTAATTACAAATTTTACTTCGATTTCAACTCAAATTTTACTCTTTCACATGCCTAGTTAACAGCTCTACTTGAGAATCAGTTCTCTTGTAGAGCACTATTATGAAGTATTTTCACAGAGGAAGGCTAGTAAAGCCAATGTACACACTGTCCACCAACCCTGTGAAGGTGTTTCAAAAGCAGAGGCACTAGTGAGAGAATGTAGTGCTTTATCTAACCACATAAAGCTAATACAATGTATGTAACAAGGTGGTGCCCCCAGCTCAAACTCTACATTTCACAGTATTTCATTTGGTGTCAACAGATTTAGCTTGCATTAAATTAAGTACTTACAGTGGTTTGTCGCAATAGTAGAACAAGAATTAAACTGCCAAGAACTTCAACATTAAAAAAAAGAGGATAAAGTAGGACTACTGTAGCTGTTAGGAAAGCTACTTGAGTTAAAGGCAGGGTTACTACAGTGGAACACAGTATAATCTCCTGGACAGACAGCCACATCCAGTTGCTCTTCAGACCCTTAAAGGAAATCACTTTTGCTGTTCTCACCAGTGAAAGCTACCACTGCCTACTCTGTAAAGTGCAATCAAGTCACACAATCCATTACTAACTGTATTTTATATTTGTTTCAGAAAGCCTGCTACAACCAGCTTACAAAGTTGCTTTTCCACAAAAGATAAGCTTCAGTTCCAACACTATTTTTAAACACCCCACCACATGACAGTAGTTATGCAACTTCTTAAATATTTACTCTACCCAGGTTTCCATACAGCTCCCAGATACCAAGCATGCTTGGATGAACAGTACAACAGGCTGATTAATGCAAAACCCTGCCTTCAGCATACACTTATGGAACACACAGCAATCAGGAGGGTGGCTGTGCCAGTGTGGAAAGGCATGAGGATGGCAAACTAACAGTTGTACAAAGGACCTGAACACTTAAGACCATCCCTTTAATTCTTGTGATACTGTGGAGGATGAACTAAGGTAAAATTTAGAGGTACTGGTGTTTGGGAACATTTTATTTTGTACATGACAAGATTTTACACCAAGTCAGTTAAATAATACAAATTTACATTCGTGAGGAATGTTTTTTTTTTAGAAAAGTCAACTTAAAAAAAAAAATCTCCTTTGCCCTTAAGCCCCATACCATCCCTCAACCTTTTACAGTGGAAAACCAACCAAAAATCTAATTTCACATCCTCTCTTGACCTCCCAGTGCAGGACAGTAGGTGAGTGCAGTTTACAGTTCGTCTTTTACATCTGTGGATTCCTGTGGAGACAAAACAAAGAATCAGAACCTCGCTTTTTTAAAGTGCCAATGGTTACAAGAGCTGCCTCACATTCACTACCGTTGACACTTTTCAAAGCATTAACAATGCAACTTTTGAAGAAAACATATTCCTGTTCGAATGATTGAACATCAAGACTTGGCTACTCTAAGTGGAAAAAGGCTACTTTTATTCCAGTTTGTTCAGGTGTCTGCAGCAGATCTATAGTTGACTGTTTATCTTCACTAATTTCTTCACTACT